CAATAAAAAGGTCCTGTGACATCAGTCCCTATAACTACTGACTCTTGTGTAGTGCCAAGATAGGAAATTGTTATGAACAGGAGATAGCTTTTAAATTAGAGTTATCTTAATTATTCAGAAATGGATGAAGCTGGGCAACTTCTGGGTATCATATTTTGAATTTACACTAGCCATATGAAAATTATTACACAAGGGTGAATATAGCTCAGATACCCTAATAAAAATCCATAAATAACTATTATTGTGGCATATGTTCCCTCATTAAATAAAACATGACTTTTCAATTTTGTCTAATTATTTTTTCGTCAGCAACTATCTCAATGGTCTGTCTTACCCCAAATGTGTTAAAAAATGTTTACAAAAATTTTACCATACCTGGACGACAAGCCTGACAGAGCTCTCTTGAGAATTTCTGGAGTGCTGTCTGTTGATAGGGGCACTTCTGGAATATCTGATTCATTTCTGAGCTCTAGATCTCCATATTGTTCACCCAAAACCACATCCTATGATGACAAAGCACAGTAAAGAGTATTGTTTAACCTTCCAGAAGATAGTATATGCTTGTATATGCTTAGTTGCAAATATTCATTTGGCTGGTGACACGGAAAAACTAGTTTCTAAGAAAATATGAATGACAGATAAGCAAAACTATAGACTTTAATGCAGAGTGAAGCTTAGCTTACTATGTGATTTCATACAGTTCATAAGATGGTAAATTATTCACTTGCTGTGATGTTACTTGCCACCTTCAAACAGTCTCACTCTCAAGGTTCATTCTCTGTAACCATACATTTCTGACACACCTATATAGAGAACATTTTGCAGTCCAACTCTTCAGCAGTGACCAAAAATCAGCTTCTTATAAGATAGCTGGGTAGCTTTCTATAGACAATATTCTTCCCAAAAGAAATAAGTAATAGCAATGGTTGATTTATTTTGATGTATATACTAAAAAAAACCCCACACATTTTTCCAAGACTCTGAAGATGTAAGTGCCTTGCTTCTCTGGAGCAATTCCCATTTCAATAGCAGAAACATGAGTCTCTAGCTCAGCTTTTCCTCCTATAACACATTCAGAACCTGCTATCTTTTTGTGCTTATCCCTTGTCAGTTACTTACAAGAACTATACATAGTTTTGATTCCATCTTGCCAGTTAGGGTTTGTTCCAATACCATAAACAGAGGGATCAAACACACATAGTTCATCAGGTTAGCAACAATTTTTAACAACTCCATTCTGGTGCCAACCTTCCCATTGCCCCTTTCCATCTCTTCATTTTCATTTCTCTCCTCCACCTTGTATTCCCATCAATCTTATGTACCGTTCTCCCTCCTTTTGTCCCATTACCCTCCTACCCCTCAATCTGACCTGAAAATATTTCTTAAAGACACTTAAGTTTAAAAACCCTGTGCTGACAATAACAGGTTTTTCAGTGATGTAGAAGAAAGGAAAAGCTGAGAAATGGGAGTTGCAGGGAGGAAGAACAGTTTACACAGATCTTCTATGTCATAAATGGCATCACATTCAGGTTTAAGTCCAGTCTTGGTTAGGAACTTCCCATCCTTTCCCTGTCTCATGCTACAAAAAGGTAGTTATTATTCTTTGCCATTCAGTAGGTGGTTCCCCAGCCTTGCCTCTCACCAGTGATGTTATAGAACGAAGACTGTATTATTTGCCCTGCTAAAAACCTGCACTAAATACATAAGCAGACCTCTGTGTAAGCTTGAAAGCCTGTGTCTCTCAACAACAGAAACTGGTCCAATAAAAGCATTACTTCACCTACACTGCCTGAATTAGGTGGTTTCATATATATATATATATATATATATTGGTAGTGCCTAATAGCTAGTAATCTAAGCAGGCTAGACAAGGGGTGAGAACAAAAGAGTAGAATTGTGATGTGACAAAAGTTTGTTTGTGTTTAGGGTTTTTTGCACTTTTCTAATGAATAGTTCCTGAACAAGTTTTAGCTGTTTTACTTCACGTTTGTGAACAAGGTTTATGTTTTTCTATACCCGGAGGCCACCTGACAGAGTAATTCTGATATGGGGAAATTACTAAATTTAATACAGTGAAAAAGTATAATCAAAGCAAGTTTGTATAAAACGTCTCTGGTGGCCATGAAAGAACCCATATGTGTGTAAAGTGGTTACTGTCTCAAAATTATTCAAGGCGCTCTTCACTTTACAGTACTCTATACTGTAACAACAAGCCAATCCTATAACTTACATTGAAGATTAACAGGCTTGTCTATCTCTAGGCAATATTTAAATGCTTGTGTACATTTCATCAAATAGCAATTTAGTTATTTACTTATCCACCTTTGCAGCTTCCAAAAGTTTGGTAGTTCACTTTTAACAAAAGGTAGTATTTAAAAACTAGAAAAGATTTAGTTTCAGGTTAACATTTTCAGAAGTCCCTAAATGACACAGGGCTTCTGACCCCACTTCCACTGCCAAGAGTTCCATGGATACTTGGGGGGACTGGAGGCAGTAGGCAGAGAAGTCAACCCCCAAAATAAAGTGGCAAATGAGGAGAAGATTAAGAGAAAACGACAAGGTCATCTCATGGCATGGTGAACCAAGGCCTCTTTTTTCTAGAGAGGTCTAGCCAGTCCCAGTACTCTAGCTCTGGCACACTACAAGCAGAAGAGGCAAGCTCCAGCGTGTATTCATTTTGCTTTGATACTGCAGTGACATGAAGTAGAGGTGTTGTTACATGGTGCATGTGAGAGAAGGGACAGAAATTATAAATACTATTTGCATCTGCTTCTCATTCCCCTGTACAGATACACAGCGGGAGTCCTGCACAAAAGTCTGTTAACACGCTCCATCTCCCCGGAATCTTCCAAAGAAGTCTCTAGGAAATCTTCCTAAAGGTATTCTGCAATCCTCTGACAAAGATTTCTTGGCAGAACTCCTTTGCTTCTTCTCCCTTTATAGGAAACTTTGCCATGCCAGTCATTGATTACATCTGCAGGAACCAAAGCGGTACAGCAGTGAGCAGTCTAGAGCAGTGGTGGTGCTCAACCTTATTTCATTCACGACCCCCGGAGCCAGGAAAATTTTTTTCCTAAAGGTATTCTGCAATCCTCTGACAAAGATTTCTTGGCAGAACTCCTTTGCTTCTTCTCCCTTTATAGGAAACTTTGCCATGCCAGTCATTGATTACATCTGCAGGAACCAAAGCGGTACAGCAGTGAGCAGTCTAGAGCAGTGGTGGTGCTCAACCTTATTTCATTCACGACCCCCGGAGCCAGGAAAATTTTTGTTGAGC